GCCCCCCCCCCCCCCCCCGTGGCCTCAGACTCCCAGTTATAAAGCCGCAGAGAGAAGCATGCTCCTCCCTCCGGCCCGGGGCCTGCGTCTGGCTGCCCTTGTGCCTTTCCAAAGGTGACACTGCACCTGAGAGATGGGGGGGTGGGGGGGCTCTGAGCCTCTACAAAGAGGCAGGAGAGTTAGTTCCTCGTGAACAAACATGGCAGAGCACCTGGCATACTCAACTCCTAAGCGGCTTATAAAGCCGCAGAGAGAAGCATGCTCCTCCCTCCGGCCCGGGGCCTGCGTCTGGCTGCCCTTGTGCCTTTCCAAAGGTGACACTGCACCTGAGAGATGGGGGGGTGGGGGGGCTCTGAGCCTCTACAAAGAGGCAGGAGAGTTAGTTCCTCGTGAACAAACATGGCAGAGCACCTGGCATACTCAACTCCTAAGCGGCCGATTACCATCCCAAGGCGCTGCAGGTCCCATTCCCAGCTGTGGCAGGTCTGTGTTCAAAGTGACTCCCGGCCGGCGAGGCTCAGTGCTTGAGCATCGACCTATGAACCAGGAGGTCGCTGTGGGTTCCCAGTCAGGGTGCACGCCCGGGTGGCAGGCTCCGTCCCCGGGGGAGGTGGAGGGTGTGCAACCAATTGATGATTTTCTCTCATCATTGATGTTTCTATCTCTCTCTCCCTCTCCCTTCCTCTCTGAAATCAATAAGAATATATATATTTTTTAAAGGTTCAGGAAGCTGGGGCGGCCTCAGCGACTGAGCAGCTCAGGCTGTGGGTTTCTCAGCCGGGGAAACAGCTCAGACTCACCCAAGGGCAACGCCGGGCGAGAACCCGGGTCCTGACCCCAGACCAGCTGCCCCTGGAGACCCCTGCAGGCCCCTCCTCCTCCGAGAGGAAATCTTCAGGGCAGATTTTGGGGGGACCAACTCTTCAGTCCCCTTGATCGTTTCATGTAATGAGCAGGGGTTGGCGGGGAGGGGGGACCCCTCAGAAGCACCACCTTAGAGCCAGTGCCGCCACATTCCCGAGAAAAGCTCCCACGTACCTGCCCCCATCCCATGGGGTGGGTGAGAAGGATGGACTGCGATGAGGTTAAAGAAAGCAAAAAAGAAACAGAAGCCCTGGCTGGTGGAGCTCAGTTGGTTGAGCATCGTCCCATGTACCAAAAGGTCGCCAGTTCCATTCCCGGGTTGCTGGCTCGATCCCTAGTAGGGGGTGTGCAGGAGGCAGCCGATCGATGCTTCTCTCTCTCGCCCCGCTCTCTGGCCTCCACAGTACCCATGACTGATCCTTCACTCCCGGGGTCTCAGTCCCCTCCACTCAGCCTTGGTCCAGCCACATGAGGGTGGGCAAGTCGCTCCACCTCCTGGGCCTCCATTTGCCCGTGTGGGAAGCAGGGGCCAGCTCCGTCCTGCCTCGCAGAGCTTCGGGGGAAGGTGCTGGGACACAGGCACGCGGGGCTGCGTGAGCCACAGAGCTCCGAGCCTGGCAGCCGATTGATGCCGCATCCGCCGGGCTCACACCAGCTCTCACGGACAGTCCCCAGGGTGCCCGACCTCAGACATGGAAGGCGAGACACCGACAGGGGCCGACGGAGAACAGCAGAGCCTGGAAAGGCCAGAGGCTGAGGGCAGCTCTGCCGTTTAAAGGGAAGCTCTCTGGGTTCTGTGGGAAGGGCCTCACACAAGGGTCCGAGGCCACGGCTGGCTCTCCGGTCACCAAGGGAGAGCGTGTGTGTGCTCTTGTCTGCTTTGAAAGATTCAAGTTACAAACAAGAGGCCAGTTTTGTATCTGGAAAACTTCCTTCAACTAACACCTCACTCCCCATCCAGGCTCCCCCAAACCCCCCCAGGCAGGGCCCCTCAAGGCCTCCCCCACAAGCCCCCGGGCTGCACGCCTCCACCCCTTCCAGCTAAGTCTCCCCTCCATCTCCTCGTCTCCCCTCCATCTCCTCGTGCAAATGGACCTGGGCAACTCCGAACCCTAGAGAACTCCCCACACCAAGTTCTTCCCAATTCCTCTGCCCGCAAACCCGGCCCTAAACCGACACCGGGCGATGTTTAGTCTTTACGGGCCCACTGAATGCGGGGTTCTCCCCGCACCTCCATCCCCCATGGCTCTAAAACCTGGACAGTTCCAACCCCTCCCCCACGGGGCTGGGGGCGGGCTGTGGCCACAGCAATGGGGGTGCACATCTCCTTCCTCCCCTCTCCCCAAGCTGCCCCCACCAACACGGCTCCCAACCTTCCACTGGCAGCCCCTCCCCAACGGTCCTCAGAGGAACTGGCCCAGCTCTGGAGTGGCGGGGACCCTGCACGGCTATGACGGCCTAGCCACAGCTTCCCCCCCCCCTCCCGGCCACCTCCCTCCCTCCCTGTGGGTCCCACATGGCCTCCAGCCCTCCTTCCCACGGGCTGCAGACCCAGCACCCAGTCTGGATGCAGCCGCCTCCTCCCTCCCACACACAGGCCGAGGGAGACCTGAAGGGCTGTTTAAAGAGCCAGACCGCCGCCTGCCTCCCTCCCTCCGAACCTCACAAGCGACAACCCCTTGCAGCAGGCCCTGCACGCAGACCCGCTTTAAATTCCCGCCCGCCACTCCTCAGCTGCGACCTTGGGCTCTCCCCCCTGGGCGCCTAGACTGTGGTGGGTTGTCGGGAAGATGACATCAGTCCGTGCTGGGGGAGGGGGGCCCCGGGGTCCTGCCTGTTACCCGGGTGACGCAGGAGGCCCTGACGCTAAGGAACACCGGGCTCACGCTCCGGCCAAGGCGGCCCCTCCCCCACCGGAGCCCACGCAGGGAAGGAGGACGGTCCACAGTCCCCACGCCCGCCTGATCCCCTTCCCAGACGATCCCCTGGACTCTGCGCGCATCCGAGGCCGCACTGGGTCCAGGAACAGAGAGGTTAAGTGACTGTCCAAGGTCACACAGCCCGCAGGGGGATGGGAGGGGAGGCGGGAGGAGGCGGCCCCGGGCCTGGCCTCCGGGCAGCTCCAGCCAAACATGCTCCATCCTCCACCCCCACCCCAACGGGACGCTGTCCAGCCTCCAGCCGCGGACACCGGGCTTCACCTCCGGTCTCCGGCCTCAGTTTCCCCAGATGCTGCCTCCCACCCCCAT